ATTGTGCTTACATGTCAAAGTGGAGGCTTTTATTCTGAAAATAAACCGGATGTTTTCATGTTGTTTCTGTGTCTGACTTCCTGTCCCGCACGATCTGTTTGATGCTCTGTGCACCGACATCCTGCAGAAACAGAAGTCAAGTGTATCTGCAGCAGAGGACTCTGGACTGATGGAGCTGAGACGCAGAGGAGCCAGAGGAAGCAGACACACTGACTAAATTAAAAAGCTCTCAGCTTCACTGCCGAGGCCGAGCGGAAAACGTGTTTCTGGTAGAATTTATCAGAAACTCTGCCGTTGAAAGAGTGATTCCTGATCTGAAAAAGACTGAAGAAGTCTGCCATCGTGTGTCCTCGCTCACAGCTCCTCAGAGCTCCTTCTTATCTCCAGTCATGATTTGATCTGATTTGATTTCTTATTTTGTAGATCTTGTATTTAGTTTCATTCTTCCCTCGTGTGGGTCCTAGTTAAGTCTTCAGTGTTTCCTGTTGTGATGGTGTCATTACTTATTCTTGTGTCTCTGTCTTCAGGGTTTCATGATTTAGGTTCTTGCCGCTCCTTGGGTTTTAGATCTTTTGTGGAGTTTTCAGTTTGGACATTTTTGATTTTAGTTTGTTTTTCCTTTTTTCCTTTTTGTTTTAAAATAAATAGTTTTTGGTTTTTCTGCAATTGGTTCCACCTCCTTTGTTTTTCCAGCGCCGTCACATCTCCTCGTTTCAGTAAAAAGAGCTTTGGGACGATCCTTAGCATGACGGGTCCAGAACAACATCCGGTTTGCCCCCGAGGAGCGAGGATACATCATTTAAGAGAACTGATATGAAGAGTCTGTCTCCAGATGTGCAGCATGTTAGCATCTGTCACAGGGATCATTTACCGGAGAACCTTGAGAACCCACACATGCAGGAAGAGGACACACAGAAAGGCCTCTGTTCAAACTCTTCTGTTAATGAGTGAAATGACCACGGGGACATGTTGGGCACCTCTGTCTTCAGTTTGTAACTTCTTCTTCTTCTTCTCTCTTTATTTGAAGTGTCTTTAAAGCTCCGCCCACAGGATGCACCGGAGGCTTTAAAGTCCCTGCAGCCTGTTCTTCAGGCGACAAGAGGGAAGGAGGGTGAAGGTCTGAGTGAAGAATGGAGGTGTGTTTCTGTGGAGCCTAAAGAATGGGCCCTTTCATTTGGCTCCTGGTTCATGACGGAGGGGGAACGTGGCAGCCCGTCGGTGTTTGGGGGCACGTGAAGCTCTCAGTTTGAAGTTTCTCTCCACATGATAGAGATTAGGAGCTCCAGGACGGCACGGTCTTGTGTTTCTTCTCGTCTCCTTCCTCTTCTCCCCACACATGTTTGTCTTGCTAATGATGAGGAAGAGGAGGAGGAGGAGGAGGAAGGGAGAGAGAGAGAACGCAGGAAGAGAGACACATGGCGCTCAATTCCCCTCGGAGGAGAGGACACGTGAGGAGGGAAGCTGGAGGCCTCCTTCAGGCTTCATGTCTGCACGGACGCTTTCCTGGATGAGGAACAAGCTTCTTGGTTTTGTTGTCCCATATCTTAAAGCCTTTATATGTAATTTTTTTGATCCAGCAGATGTCGCCCTTGAGCACCAGCATGAAACCAAAACAACTGGCGCTGCATTGTTGTGTTAGCATGCTAATGCTAGTGATCTTTATTCTGCTGGTATCTTCACACTGCATGTAAATTTACCTGAAATGAGCGTGATCTAGAAACACAGTTAAGCAGTGAGTACAGTATGTTATTCTTCTTTTCTCTAGTCCCTCAATTAAACAACTTTTATACACGAGGGGAGGAGTCAGCCGGCCGTCCTGGCGATGTAAACAAAGTGAAGATAGGACTCTGAAAACTCTGAAAACATCACAGACAGTGGGACTCGGGTGTTACACCCATTGTAGACAGTCATGACTCAGAGTTATTTTCAGAGGATAGACTTGATTTATATTTAAGGGTGAAACATCACAGATTAAGATTTTAAAGAGGAGATGCTGTTATATCTGGTTTATGAATATCAGCCTGATTAGATCCCACTCTGACAAACACAAAGCCTCAATACAAAGATGGAGATCCTTTGTGACAATCAGTGGGTTTGTTTTAGTGCTTTGTGTCATAGCAGCACGCTCTCTTTACACTTTATTTTCACTGTTAAGCAGAAACACAAGGTTCACCCGCGTCGGATCAGACTTTGAACCACCTTCAATATGAAACTGTGCTTTAAATCTTTCTCTCTCAGGGTCAGATCCACAAAAAAGCTGAACCTGTTCAAGTGATTCACAAAGCCTCTCAAATATTATTACAGTTTATTAAACATTTCAAAATGTCTGTAACGTCTGAGGATAAAAGATGTTTTAATGACGAACACCCTGAAGAGACGCAGAGAAGAAACAGTTCTATGTCGACCCAGAGACACTTCAGAGAAAATCCTTTGTGAATCCTGAGATCCTGAAAAACTTTGGAGAGATCCTCAGGATCTTCAATATATCCTGAAAAATTCTTGCAAAATTATAATTTTCTCTCTGACACACACACACACACACACACACACACACACACACACACACTCAGATAATATCAGAGGTTAAAAACTCGTCGTGACGGCTGAACTTTAACGGCGTTCCTCCTGCTCGTCTCCGTCACACGCTCACTGAAGCCTCACTGCGTCCCGTCTGTGCGGATGAGGAGTCGCCGTGTTAAGAATGAGAAGCATGCGGCGGATGAGGAGACGAGGTTTACTACAGAGCGCCGCGTGGGAGGTCTCGTCACGCTTCTGTGATTATCTCACGCTTCACTTGATCGGAACAATACGAGCTTTTTAGTTTCGCTTTTCACCACGAGCTTAATAACTCACAACTCCTTCCAAAAGATCAAACACACGGGGTGAAGAACTGAGCCGTCTGACATCGGCTTTGTTGGTTTGTTCAGTCTCGCTGCTACCAGACACTTTAATTAATTGGATTAACGTTAGACAGATGAAAGCTCTGAAGGACAAAGACCTGGACCTGATCCCAAAGGATTTCTTTAATCAGTCCGGTCCGGAGCGCCGACTGTTTCCTCAAATGATCACAGAACAGAATAAATCCAAACGTCTTATTCCTGAAGCTGTGTGTAAGAACCCAAATGCAGCACATGTGGAAACACAGTAGAAACTTTATTTACAGTGTTAACACAGGTCAGGCTGGAAGTGTGAAATGGACTGGACCAGGGGCTTGTTCTGGAACAGGGTCTACAGAGTGTGGTCATCACTAGTCGGTCTCCAGACGACTTTTTGAAGGTCTCGGTCTCGTCTTGGAATCAAAAGCATTTTTCTCAAATATATATTTTTGGGGCTTTTTGTGCGTTTAATGTAGAGACGCTGGATAGAGTCTGACACCAGGGAAAGAGAGGGGGGGGGGGGGGGAAGGAGCCACAGGTGGGATTCGAACCTGGACCGCCTGCCTGGAGGACAAAATTACTTTTACTCGGTCTTGTCTTGGTCTCGGACTGGGTGGACTCTGGATTTTAAATGACCACCACAAGACCACCACTGATCTAATCTCTGAACCATCTCTGTGATCAGAAGGAAAACTCCTCTTTCTATAACAACAAATAACTTCACTTCATTTATAGTTTGATTTTTATCCCCCGGTTACGTCTGCAACCTTCCCGCTGTGACGGTCTAAGTGAGGGACACGCCCCCTAAACACAAGATGATGATTTTTCAGAGATATCTATGGTCTTGGTCTTGCTCGATCTCGCCCTATGGGAAACGTTTTCAGACATGGCTTTTATTGGCACAATGGATTTTAAGCGGGAAAAAAACACTCATAAATTTGATAACATTTATCATTTGACCTCGACTGAACTCCCCTGAAGCGTCCAACATCACCTCGTCACTGATGGTAAAGTCCTTTCAGATCCTCGGGGAGTATCCCGTGTTCCTGTTTTCACTTCTGAACCCCGTGAATTATTACAGTTACAGTTGAATAACAAAGTGCCATTCAGAAACGCACGCTACACCCAGAGAGGAATACCGCTCGGATTACAGCCGGGGCCTCCGTCTTTCCTCAGAATATTGAGTTGTAAGCCGCCTCTCCGAGGATCAAACGGGAAGCAGACGCTGTGTCTCCTCCCTCGGCTCGCGGCTCTATAGCTCTCTGTTTCTTTTCTGTAAGGCATTAGCAGTTAATTTCCACTCTCTACTGTTTTATCAGCTGTCAGTGTCGCTGAACACGTCGTTTAAACGTCTCTCTGGAAGCCTCAGAGACTCAACATGTTTTTCATCGACATGCAGTTAGCCTCGACTACACCTCGGGGCATGTCGTCTTGCATGAAGACCTACAAAGTATCTGGTGAAGAGATTCAAAGAGAGATGAGCTGACACTTAACGACGGGTCGCTGATTGGTCGGAGGGAATCGTCTCTCCCCAGCTTTACACTCGACACCTCTAAAAACCTTTCCCCTCTCGTTCACTGAGCAGTCTGTGACGGCAAAGACTGAAAGATCTGAATGAGCATTTCAGCACATTACACAATGTAGGTAAATAAAAATCCTTTGCTGAAGTTGATAAAAGGAAGAATGTTCAACATGTTCCACATCAATAAATCATAAAGTCTGTCCTGTGTAAATGTGTCTCTGAGTCATGACTGTCTACAATGAGGGAGAAGCTCGAGTCCCGCTGGCTGTGTTGTTGTCAGAGCCGTGTTTACATGGACGGGACGGCCGGCTCCTCCCCTTGTGTATAAAAGCTGTTTTAGTCAAGAACTAGAGAGAAGAAGAAGAACATACTCACTGATTATTTGGATGTTAGTAAGAGTTTTTAGATCACGCTCATTCTGTGTCAGTTTACATGAAATGTGAAGCTACGAGCTAACTAAAGAGCGCTAACATTAGCATGCTAACACAACAATGTGAAGCTACGAGCTAACTAAAGAGCGCTAACATTAGCATGCTAACACAACAATGTGAAGCTACGAGCTAACTAAAGAGCGCTAACATTAGCATGCTAACACAACAATGTGAAGCTACGAGCTAACTAAAGAGCGCTAAAATTAGCATGCTAACACAACAATGCAGGACACAGGTGATTGCAGCTAAAGCAAAGGACAATCTTGTCCGCCGGTTGTGCTAAAACTCCTTTGTACGAACTCGAGTGGAGGGGGGTTGGAGGTGTGTCGCTGGTGGAGGGCGGAGGCTTCAGGATGGAGGAGGCGTGGCCTAACAGCAGTTTGTTTTGGTTTTATGCTGGAGCTCAAGGGCGACAACTACTGGATCAAAAAGTCAAATGAATACTACTTGCATATTGATGAATGTTAACAGGAAACACTAAGGATCATGGGGCTTTAGCGTCGGATATACTTGAAATGTGATGAGTTAAAAAAACATCCTGATTCACCAAACAGGACGACACCGCACAGATTCCACTTTCTGTTGGCGTCTCCTGCTTACATGTCGAGCTGTTCTGGTGTCTTTTTTTTTCTTAATTCGCCTCCATCAGGTGAGCTACGTCTGCATGAAGAGGTGGAAGTTGGCTCTGGTGAACTCCTGGTGGATTGTCTCCAACAGGACGTCGTCCTCCGCTCCTCCCTCCACCCCGTCATCTCTCCTCCCTCCTCCCGCTGCTCCTCGGACAGAGTGCGGCGGCTGCAGCTCCGGGGTGAAGGTGAAGCTGAAGTGCGTGCGATAAATCAGGCCGTCCAATCGGAGGAGAGACAGCGGGACGGTGATGATGCGTCGCAGAGAGCACCAGACGTCGGTGAACATGGAGACGTCAGGAACGACGCAGAGCAGAGACTTAGGAGACCTGAGAGCAGAGACGAGGAGAGGAGAGTGAGAGGATTCCTGTGAGATACTTTGGTAACCATGGTAACGGCTCATCAGAGTTATCTGCAACAACTGAAGGATAAACTTGTCTTCTTTTATTTTCAAAGTAAATAAAAAGATGTTTCTATAACTGATAAACCTGAAGAATCATCACGTAACTTCAGTCTGTTTTTTGTTTCTTGGACTTGAAATGATTCACGTGACGTGTTCTAAACGCCTTTACTAAAACGCTTCACAGTAAACTAAACACGTGAGACTCTGTGTATCAACATGGACGTCAAATGTGCAAAGACAAACACAACAAAGAGGCCAAAGACAACAAGCGATCGTGTTGATTGTTTTGGATAATTAACAGTTTGTTGGTTTTGTCTCAAACTTTCCAGGAGGAAATGTGAGCAGCAAATGACTGAAAATAAACAGTGGAAGTAGAAAATGACCCGATTATGTGTGAGACTAAACATCTCTCTGTGTCACACATGAAACTGTGAGTGCTCTTTTAGAGACTCGTCCAGCTCCGGCTCTGATGGCGGTGTGGGATCCTGTTTCTAATTGGCTGCCGTTTCTCTACAATCAGCACATTGTGGCTGACTGAGTTACATAAATACATCTCTCCTCCTCGTCCTCTGAGCTGCAGAGCGGCTGCCTGAGTTACGATGTCAGCACTTCAGGTGTGGGCTCTGAGGTGGACGCCGACGTCAGAGAGGCTGCTCTGATGTGGATCGTGTCACATGAGAATCTGTGAGGGGAAGCGCCTCAGTCTTTTGGTTCCCTCAAAACTTCTGCACGAGACTCAGAGAGACGATTGTTTGAACTCTCATGGTAGAAAAAGGTCAAACTGCATCTTTAGTTAAAGGACCAGTCAGTGAGATGTGTAGAGAGTGAGTCAGAGTTACATACTGCTCCTTTAATCATTTTTTAGTTAAAACTAAGGAGCCCTCAGAGGGTCACAGCAAGAACTTGTTAAATGATTCTTTTGTATTTTCATGTAATTCATTTTGGTCCAGTGTTATTTATCATCTTCACTTTTATAAACGTATTTGGAAACCTCGTTCCTGAAACATGCCACGTACACGTCACAAACACGTCTACATGTCTGTCGTCTTTTATTGAAATTCCTCAACAAACAGAAAAATAACAGCTTTTTAAATTCTGGGTCAACTGAAATATAATTACGCGTTGGTTGCATAATGCTCGGTGTGGAAGTGGTGCTTAATGTGCCATAAAAACGTTCATATTTGGGTCAGATTTAACGAGCAGCCAGCTTCACAGTCGCACCTTAACAAGACTAAAAACTTTCATTTGGCCCTCGTGCCGCTCCGCTCTGCACCTGGAGCCTCCGAGGTAAAAAAAAACACCAACCACGAGAGCAATCGGCAGGAAAAAGACCTAAAAGTGATTGTTAAAGCAAAAAATCATCTGAAGCAGAACGACAACGCTGCGGAACAGAAACAGCTGACTTTGATATCAATTAAATAAATGAATCCATCACTCCAGTCCATTAAGAGACTAAGAGACGACTTTGACGCTATAAAGTGACAAAAATGATTGACCTAGAAGTTTTATAGAAAAAGATTTAGCTGGTTGAGACGTGGACATCACATTACGTTTTGTGACCCTCCCCCCCCCCCACACAGCCCCCGTTTCTCCACCAGCCAATAAAGGCGAGCAGACAGCGGCGCAGCGGGCCAATAAAAGTCTAAATACAACTGTTGTCGACTGTACGCCTGTGAATAGACCTGTTTATGTTTCTACTCTCCTTTTGGCTTTCTGGGTCGAGTATTTTAGTATCTGTGTTCCTGTTCTTCTATTCGATCATTGTTCAGCACACATCAGCTCCCAGATGGATCTAATGAGAGTTGTTTTGATTTTTCATGAACATCATAACTTCTTCTGGAATCTAAAGATGAATGGTCATGCATCACCTGAAGCTCTGTTTGCTCTAAAGAAATAAATACTGAAAATCCCGTCAACCTTTTCTAGAGTCTCTTCTCATATTGACTTGCCTTGAAATCCTCCTGACCTGGTTGTTCACACATGCACCTGAGAGCAGGAGACTATCTCTATAGCTATCCACTGAATGAAGTCGTAGCTTGACGCTCCCAAAACTCCTCTCTTACATAATTTTTCTCTAAAAAATCCACAGGACCAAATGATCAAAGTTGAAATGTTTACTTAAACAAAAATAAAGAAAAAACAGATACAGGTTAGTCCAAAACTATACAAAAAGAGAGATGAGGAGAGAGAGGTCAAAAGACTGTGTGGCTCCACTCTCTACTAGTCTGAACTGAGCCCAATTAAGTCCACAAGCCCCTCCCCCTCCCAGATCCAATGACCAAAAAGTATTACATGCATCCATAAATTTAACATGATGAGCAATAAGGTTCTGACAATCTCTGTCGGCTCGACTCAACTTCATGCAGAAATTTAATCGGTGAGTTTGCTGAATAAAGTCCAGGTAAAGTTTGCGTTCACACATTCAGCCCACCTGACATTTTTGGGGAAACTTTCAGGATTTTTTGTGGATGTTTGAAAACGTCATAAATCTCCTATTTTCACATTTAGTTTTTTATCTCTTGTGAACTCACTTGAACATGGTTTCCGCCTCGCTGTTACCGAACCAGACTTTAAGGTGAGGGCTGAAGTTTTCTCCTTCAATCTCCAGCATGGCAACGTGTCCTCCACCATTCACCTGCAAGGAGCGTTCAAAATGACAATTAGGTCGTTTTCGCCTTTTAACCCTTTGCATGTCTATTGTGAATTAGCTTCAGAATCCTTTAGAGAACCAGACCCTCTTTATTTAAAACCAAACAGAGAGAGTGTCTGAGAGTTTCTCTTTTTGACTCGCCTCTAAACCAGTGATCACAGGGAAAGGAGTAACAGGCGTCTGGATGCACGCCAAACCCTGGTTAAAGGTGTACTCCACTACTTCCACCCCGATGATGGTCCAACAGGATCCGTCGTTCAGCACCACTCTGCTCGGGTCTCTGACGCTGGACGGGGCCTGGAGGGAGGACAGGTGGAGGTTTATGTGTTTGTGGGGGAACAGAGGGAGTGCAGCGAGAGCAGGAAAAGGAAGGACTCTCACCTGGTACTGTATGATGGCGTCGTTGGATAAACACAGGAAGGACTGTGGATCGTCTCTGAACTGGAAGGCGCACTTATGAAGCTGAGAAACCGGCTCGTCCACGTCCAGGATGGCGTGCTGCTTGTTGACTTTACGGATCACCTGAAGATGCGATCAAGCAAAATCGATAAAGCACGCAGGTCACCATGTGGTGGACTCTGAAGCTTCAGTGTTTATCCAGCTCTGCATGGGTCTGTAAACCTTTCTGTGTTCTAACCTCTCTCCATTTTTCAAAAGCATCTCCAATATTGATCCTAGTTTGAGCACGTTTCTGCTCGTGGAGCTTATTAGAAACATGCAGAGGCTTTTTAGGTCGGGTACAATCACTTCTATCTGAACCACTTCTCTTGACCGCTTCCATCACTGCAACACCTGTTGACCTGATAACTGCTCTCATATCTGACAAACCGAGGGGCGTCCAAAACGGTCGTGTGGGGGGGTCTTAAAAGCGCCTACCTTCTCTGGTCCAAACAAATCCAGAGCATTCAGGAGCAGAATCTAAAGTTAGAAGGAGGACATACTGGCTGCTGCATTGTTGTCAGAGAAGCCAGCACTTCAACATAGCATGTTTCCGTAATGTTTTCTTATTTAATTCAGTCGACAGTTGACCTATCGCTCCTTTAAACTTTTAAACTCTCTCACATCTAAACACAATGTGTCAGCAACTCAAAGAATATTGCAGTTTCAATGTCTCCAAAACTACAAATCCTTTTGAGACTAATTTCCCATCATGCACCTGGTAGAAACAAAGATCTACAACTTCTGAGCTGAAAACCAAAAAGGGAGAAGAAACTGGTGGAGAGAGTTAGAGTGGAGTGGAGAAGGAGAAAAGAGGGACAGACGTTTCTGAGGACCTAGAAATTGAGAGACTAACAATTCGATAAGAATTTTAAAAGCTTTGTACTCCTCATGATGAGATGTTCGTCTCTGCTCGATGCTCCATCCTACAAACAGCCCCCTCCTCTGCTCTGAACACAGAACATCCAAAGACTTGTTTTCACGATTGAGTCCGTCCACTGCTGCTGATCCAGCTGAACTTTTCCCTCTGTTACGTCTACTTTCCCCTCCTCGGTCCCTGAACGTCGACCACAACCGAAAACACCTGAGCCGGGCTCCTCGACCCCTCAGCCGCCCCCCCACAGGAGGAACCTTCTGTATCTCCAAACAAACGTGCAGCGAGAAGGCCTCAAATACAAAAACAGAGAGCAGATAAACGTTCACCTTCCAGCTGAGCTTGTTATGAGAGCAGTTTGGGAGGTTTGAGGAAAGAGAGCCGTCAGCAGGTTGAGACGGATTCTGCTGAGAGGTTCGTCTAAATAAAACTTAACCTGAAGGATTGGCTTTACAATAAGAGCATTTATGG